CAAGTGGCCTAATCCAGTTTAAGGTATACCTTTCCCTACTTTTTGCATTTCGAACAAGTGAATGATGATATATTATAACCTGTCTCTAGACAATCATATTTTAAAGATAGTGTAAAAGATTCTAATTGAAAGAATAGTGATTGGGTTATACTGCCTGCCATTTTGAAAAATCGCGTTTCTAGAAAATTGCTGCATGGCGCCATTCTTCATTTCTTGATACTTTTATTTTTCCTAACTCAAATGTATACTTGATAACTTGATAGCTTCATCCATTACTACTATATTATCACCATTGGTTTCCTCATAAAAGATACAAAAATGCTTTTTTGCATGAACGCTCATTGGTCATTATTGCCCCCAGTAGCGAGCAGTAAAAAATTGCTGCCTTGGCATTATGTAATTTAAACCGAATTCATCAATTTTGCTATTCAATTAAACAGCTTAATGAACAAATCCGAATTCCTGCTCTTAGTAAAGGGATGTATTCCAGTGGCGTACCACCAAAAGCATTTTTTGGTTTGGTAAGAAACACTAATAACTTAAAAATTTTTGTTTTTGAAAATGCTATGATGCTGGCCAACATTTTTTGTCTGGAATTTTTTATCTTTCTCAATCAGTATTAGCATACGATGAAGAAAAAATGGCTCCACAAGAGGCGTTTGGTGGAGGTGGCATGACTGTTTGAGGTGGTGTTATGTACAATGGTAAAACCGAACTTGTTATTTCAAACAGGACAGTCAATGCTGCAGTTTATACGGACAAAATTTTAAACAATATTGATGTACCTGTTGCACAAGATTTTGGGAATGATTTTGTCTTCATCGACGATAACGCCAGGCTACACAGAGATCGTACGGTTATAAACTTTTGGCAGAAAATGTTACGGTTTAAATTACATGATGTCAAATTAGCAAATTTTTACTGCACGCCACTGGAGGCAATAACGTTAAATCAGTGCTTCAATCTCCTCTCGGGCTCAAGAAATTCCACTTTAGGCAACAATATCTGAAAAAATACCCATTTTCAAGAGAATCCCGAAAAAAGACCCTTTTTAGCGATAAATGTAACGCTTTTTAAAATTCGATAATTTAAGTTATGGGCAAGTTTCGAAACATTTGAGAAATTCCTTTTTTATGATGAGTTACAAAAGAATCTTTCCGATAATCCTTCTCTACCTTGACGAAATTTTTCATAACCCCATTGGCTTGCTTTGTTCAGATCGTTAAAACATTTCTTGAATCCTTATTCCCAGAATCAGAAGCGAATGATCATCTTCTGACAGGATTGCTCCCGCGCTATAAGCTCAGGCCGTATCTAACCACATATATAGCATTAATGAATTCCGAGAAAATGACATTTTTATTAAGATTGATGTCTGATTCGGTTAGCGAGGTCAAATTTAAAAACATTGATTCCCACTAACGAGTCTCGACGTATATGACTGCTGTAAGCAGAGCCATATTTCATAAACGAGATATTAATTGAAGCAGATTCATCTCAAGTGTTCACCACGTCTCATTTGATTGATAAATAATTAACCCAGATGTGCCCAATGGCTTATGTAGTACATTTCAAACTTGTCGATTCTTGTCAAAAGGGGTCTGTTTAGTATAACGTTGTTCGGCTTAGGGTATGGTTGTTAGTTGTCGTTTTCTAACGGACTATTAGTGTACTTTGAAGTCTAAGTACCGCATTTCGACGAAATGGCTAAATACGGCATCAGGTTTGCAAGGTAAGTTCTAGCAGACCCTCTGTCGATGATCGCTTAGCGACATCGATAGAATGTGCGAGGTAAAGGGAACCAACCCGGCGTTCCCAGAGACTGAAACACATGAGGAGACGTTGTAGCAGACCGCAGGTCACGCACAACACAAACATGGCCTACCGAGACGCTGATGAGTCGGGCCACGCGGAGGTTAGGGTTTAGTGGGTATTAGGTGGTCTCCTCAAGACAACCTGGAGTCCCACACACGCCGTAGCGATGGTATAGTGCATAAACGCATTCCCCCCTCACCAAAAAAAAAAAAAAAGGTAAGCTGTATTTTGATGATTTACATTGAAGTGGATTCCATATAATGGAACAAATTGCTACATATAAAGTCGACAGAAGGAATATATGCTTGAGGCAATGAATAATATTGCCTAACTTTTTCACAGTTTAGAAAAAAATCTATCCGTCCTATATAAAGTACATTGGGCAAATATATTACTGCCACTTTTTCTAAATTACCCTCAGTTTTTGGTTTATGGTTTATGTATACAGGCTGACTTCGAAGTTGAGTCATTTATTTTAACAGTGAGTAGATCAGATCAAAAGAAATGTTCTTTTCCTTTAACATTTTTCTGGTAAAATTAAAGTAACAAAGTTATAGCCCTTTAGAAGTTTGAGTAGCGCCCTGTCTCAATAATAATATTATGTGCTCGTGTTTGGCAACAACGGATATAATCCACCTTATCGGTTCATCACATCGAAAAGAAAAAAGCGAAAGAATTTGAAACGCTTATCACGATGTTTTTACTACAATTCTATTCAGTTGTATTCAGTCAATGTGTTAGTCGCTAACGCGTGAGTAAATAGTGGTGTTTGTTGCGTGGCTCAAACGGAATAAAAAATGGCACATGTCTACGAAAATGCTAAACTTGTGGACATGATTCTTATTTACGGGGGGGGGTCTTTACAAAATGCTGCCGCGGCATCACGGATTTATGCGGATCGGTTTCTCAATCGAGTGCAACCAATCCCTCGTGCCTTTGTTAATGTAGTACAAAGGGCTCGTGAATCAGGTGACTTAAGACCTCACAGGGGTTACAGGGGTTTTTTATTGCATGAAGCCCTGGCTGTGATCGAAGATGACAAAGTGCAAGCCGATACCATCACACTGTTTTCACCTAACAATGCTTCCGAAAATCTCACAGATGAAGATTTGGCGAAGAAGACAATGTGTATATAAATAATTTGCCGCGATCTCAAATGCAGAGCGAATGATAAATGTAATACTGACTCAGAAGACGACATACCCTTGAGTCAATTGTCAGCAGCAATCAAAGGAACACGCAAGCAGGCAAAGAAAGAGAAACGTTATCATTATGTGAAAGAGCATTTAGAGTATTGGTGCTGCTTTTGACAATCCTTATCATGTTATTTGGTTGGCTTTTGGGTTGTTAGGCCGTCGTAAAATGTTTTTACTTGACGTTTCGTTAACACGAGCGGTCGACATCTTCTCCAGGTAAAGCAGCCACATGTGGTCCAGTTATATGTAAAATAGGACCATGGGAAGGGTTGACCGTTCTAACCAAAATATAAGCCTCTATCGTACCGCCATAACAGGAAAAAAGCAGTATTTTTTTCAGATAACTTACTGCATAGGTATTGCAATGCAGAATTCCTGGCAAATTCATAAAAAATTAGGCGGAACGATGGCCCATTTAACTTTAAGAAGAGCAGTTGCAAATTGAATGCTGGTTAAAAATAAAAAGAATGTGTGTATCAGATGGGAAACAAATCTCAATCACAAAATCGGGAGTTGCGATGTGACCATCTGGACCAGTGGGTACTACCACAAGAAAAGCAAACAAGATGAGCAGCTTGTCATCAGAAAACTCAAGTCGCTGTCAAAAATGTGACAAAGGGTTGCATGTTAAGTGTTTTTGATGTATCATGCTAAGCCCAAATGATTTTAATGCAGCATAGCAAGTGCCCATGGTCCTATATAAAAGTCTTTTGACAGAAAAATCAGTTTCAGAAGTTTTAGTTGTGTTCTTGTACACTATTAGTGCCCCTTTAATGCAAAACTATGAAGAAGTCAGAGTCATGATAACGTTGGGCATATCTGGGTTAAGGCACTAGTCATTAAGTCATTAAACGAAAATTAGTATAACTTATGCTCTATTGTTTTAACCGACTCCCTTCTACCGATATGACAGCAGACTTTGATCCTCATTGGCTATGCCGACCCTTGTACATCCTGCAACGGTATCCTGCAGAAGGTTAGGAAGCCTGGGGATGTTATGAGATTTCTCGAGAGTAGTTTCAAAAACGAGATATTCGGTTTTTTTTGTTACATGGCACTTTCGTCTCGAAAAATCATGTTACTCACTTCTGTCGATATGCCTGCTAATCCTTGCCCTCTTTAAATTGGAAAGTACCTCTTGGATTCAGATGCACTGCAAAAATGCATTTTTTCCATTTGACTCTAACGGCTCAAAGTTTGAATATTTATTGTGATTGAGAAACGATAACCCATGCCAATTTTCAGCCAAATTTAGAATTTGAAAGTTAATAGGGAAACCATGTGTGGATATCAAAACATAATTCCTATTCGACAAATAAAACACAGCTTTATTTGTCTCTTTTATTTGTTAGATAGAACGTTATTTACCAAATTTTCTTTTCAAAGTTTTCTTTTTACAGTCAGGATATACCTGGCTGTGTTCTTTTACGCAACGGAATAATTTTTTGTTGTTCCTCATCAGCAGTAATTAAGCCATTGTCAACTCTTCTCAGTGTTTGCAGCTTATTCTTAAAACTGTCATCAATTTTAAACTACTTGCTCTTGATTGAAACAAAGTCATCGATACTTTTCTCTGAAATGAAAAACCGAAGAATAGCTACCATCTAAAAATATTGGTCCTATCCGTCTGACCACAGACAGTCAACCATGGACAGATGTTTTGTGCTTTCTGGCAACTCATCAGCATCATCTAGGCTCGCTCTCAGGTCAGGACAACGAACGAAAGCATACCATCTAATCTCAATCTGAGGTTTAAGATCTATCAAAAGAAGACAGTACCTATAAGGTGCGATGAATTGTCAGAATCGCAGTTTACGCTGGCTTATTTTAACAGTTAGTATATTATATCGAAGCAGTGAAAGAAGACAAAAGGAAACTTATTCATAGGCAGCAGCGGTGGTCGCAGTAGTAGACTCTTCGCCGTGCGCTGTCCGGGTTCAAATACCGTCCCAGGAGAATTGTTTCTCTTGGCTATGGATGTTGTGATTGTCCGTAGATAGTAGACGGTCTCTGACTGTCGAACGCGGAGGTACCACCCGGCGGATCTCGTAGGCGGGTCCAAATCTGTGCATGTTGCATGGACACGTGTTCCCTCGCCAGAGTCCGTGTGGCGTTCCCCCTCTCCCCTGTATCTCACTAATAGCCCCACGGTACCCCATAGGTGTTTAGGCCTTAGGCCTTCGTGGTAGTTGGAGTATAAAAAAAAGAAGTAGGCCAAAAAGCTCTTCTTTCGATGGGACGTAGCGTTTACCGTTGGCTGATGAACTCTCTTTGGCTAAACTAGCAACAGTTTTTACTTTAGTTTACACATCTACATCGTCATCAAACAGAGATAAGACAGAGACCTCATCTGTCAAATACCATAAATGTTGACAGAACTTTTGTAAAGCGGCGTTTGAAATTTGTCAATTCGTTCGTAAGCCTTCATTGCCTTTAAAAAGCATAAATCTTGGTTAGGTGCTTTTAGCACTAAACTGCATTGCAACCACGGTTTCACGTATGTTGTCAGGATGAAGAGGCAGATATCTAACAGAGCTACCTTATCCTTATTAGAAAGTTTGAGTTGGTAGCTTAGTAACGCTATGGTTAATGGCGCCTGGCGATGGAATCTTAAATTTTTTATCTGTATCTCCGCCAAGGAATATTATTGCAAGTTCTATTAATTCTGGATAGTCGTATCTAGCAACGTCTTTGGTCTGCTCTCGTGAAATTGCTAACATTTATTTTTGTCTCCGAGCTTAAACTAAATTTCTTTCCATATTAATACGACTGATTTATTCCCATTAAATTCAATACATAGATGGCTTGTCCGTAAGACCTTTACCCGTTAGGCACTGTCCGATGTACGTTAGTTACATCTGTCAGTTCTGGTTGCCCAGAAACCAGACAATTTCAAGAAAAAGGAGGAAAAGAAAAGAAAAAAGGAGAAGGGACAGGAGTGTATTAGTTTAAGAGGAAACCCTGGGTTTTTTGGTTTGCTGCACGGCATGGGTATCATGTAAGAAACCTATAAAACATAAAAAAAAACCTACAAGATGTCATCTTGCAAACTAGGTAGTTTTTAGGGCGCAAACAGTCATTCCACGTTTGCTCACTAGGATCGTTGTGAACGTCCATCTAAGCAGGAATCACACAACTAAACTAAACGCATTGTTGGTTGCATATGTTTTGTCTGTAGTTTTTATGTCTGAGAAGAAAGTTGGTTGAACAGCAAGATCGCATCTGGATGATTATGTGTATTGGTCTGCATGTGTATAAAATCGGTGACATTTGCTGTGTGAGAAAATCATTACTGAATATGCTGCCAATAAATATCTATTGGCTGTGCCCGACGGGTTATTTTTAATGTTGTGCTTACTGAAAAGAGGTTTTGTTCAAAGTTATAAATTACGAAAAACTGAGGAGAGTTACGGGAAATCATCACCGCGCCCGCGTTGTATGTAATTACTGTTAGCATGTATATGGCTTGTAATTCGGCGGTGTAAAGTGAATATAATTATTTCTTATCTCTCGCATTTTTGAAATTGAGCAAATATGTGTATGTAATTTCCAGAATGGATAAGAAAAAGTAGATGCGCAACTAATTTCTAGCTTTGAATCTCAATTAAGTGTATTTGAGACAAGAACCCAATGTAATTATCATCAACACATACAACTTATAGCTTAGACCTCCAGTAATGCCATCTCAGAAGCAGATTTTAGATCACATCAGAGCCAAAGATTGATAGCAAGCCTCGTGACGTTTAGGCAACACGTACAACTGAGTGCTGAGTTACTATCTTGTAGAAAAACCTACATAATGTAAAAAAAACAGCATAATATCAAAAAAGAAATCAGCATAATGTCACTTTTCAAGATACGTGATACCCGTGCGGATTAATTTTGAGGTGAACTAAAAACTAACACTTACTAAAGCTTGCGCTTATTTTTGTCATAGTGAGAACCATAACCGTGAATGTTTACGAACATGCTCCCACTGCGTAGCCTACTGAGTCACACATCAGAGGGTTGCAGTGCCTTATGTAAAGAATGTCAAGGTCTCAGTGTAGTGTCTCATTTGAGACATACCATGGAGGGGTTCAGTATACCTATAAAATGGGCCACTTGGAAGCAAATTCGTATTGTCGTAATTTGAGTGTTAGCTTTTTAATTGGTTTTTACTTTGCACGGTCATAATATGGTGCTCATTTTGGTGTCATCGTCATAAATCTGTTTCATATGAGTTTGTTAGAAACAAACTGGAATTCAAATCCCGAATTTTAAATAAGGCAATTCTTGAAAAAGCATTCCTTCATCTATAAAATGTACGCCTACAGCAGCTGTAATGCTGTGCCAGAATTGTCACATGTTATAATGTGGTTATTAACAAACCAATTAAGAAATATGGTTTACAGGTATGATATCAGCCTGATGCCTAGTTTTGGATGTGAGGCGCCCTGTGAAAAAAATTACATAGCCAATTGTGTATATATATGGTCAAGCTCACGTATAATATCATCACCTATCAAGTAAAAGCTAAATAATATATTACGGGATATAATGAATCATGTTCGTTCCCTAAACCGGTTATGAATTTCAATACATAACGAATTTTAGTTACATCAGAACATATTATATAAACCATATACAGCATATATTGTAGCTTCTACACAACTTAACGTTGGTTACAAAATTACCTACCAAGAAGGATTAGAAGAAAAATATTTTTAAGAATCGCTCAATCTTTGCTTTCTTACGTCTCTGAGACTCCTGATCGCTTTCACCTTTCGTATTAGCGAGGTTTCGTATCTTGGTAATATTATGCACCTACCAGACAAACTGATACGCTGAAAAACTGAACTCAATATGATTCACGGCCACAAGTTTTGCGTTTCGTTTCCCGTGCTGCGACCAATCCACGAGACTGGTAAATTGACTCACCTTGGCAGCAGAGAGACATGCAAACCTCCGCGCAGGACATACGCGTGCAGCGTATATTTTACCACGGGTCGCCGGATATCCTAGTAGCGGCATTAAAAATGTTCGACAGATTGTTTCTGCTTTTTTGTATTGTAAGTAAATCTAACGTACCTTCATGTTATAGAATAATATCAACGGCAGCTACATCACTGATACGATACCAGCGAAAAACGTTATTAGGAAATGTCTCATCCCAGGAATATGACGCATAATATAAGATACAACATTCGCACATGATATAATAATTCATATATTTGTCATTGAAACGTAGATGTGCCAGATTCGCCTTTTTTAAAGTTTAAGCTGTAGAATAAATATAATAAACGTTTTGACTGTAAAACAACTCAATTTTATTAGATTGTCTTGTGTCAAGTAGATCGACTCTATATCTCGCATCCATACTTTGATCCATTTCTCTTGAGTCACATTACATGCGGTGTTAGGTCTGGAAATACACCGAGCTTAATCTGATTGATGACATGAAAATGATAATCTAGAAAATCTTAATCGGGACAATGCAGCTCGTTCACAGGTTATGTGAAAACTTAGTATATTATGCCGTGTAACCCTACGATCGGAGGGAAAGTGGGCCACTCATCTGCAAAGTAGCTTATTGGAACTTTTCAAGTCATTTTTGGATGTATTCTCTGCTCAAAAAATACTGCACTCATTACCTATTCGTATAAGTGGCGTTGCATTAAAATATATCGAATCGGTATCCAGCAACTATATCTGTCCGAAGCAATATCATTTCTCACGTTGAATGATTTTCAAGCACTTTAAATTCCATTTTCGATATTGCATTTCCCTTAGTATCACGTTGAAAGGACCTATGTTCGCCAGTATAAGTGAAGTACTGTGGAGGAGGCAATATAGAGCCGGTAATTCGTTTATCTGATTCCATGCAAGATATACTCAGAGCCCATATACAAGGTGGACACATACAGCGTGTTCGGGGAGTAGATACAATCCTCTCAATGATAGTACACCCCCTTTAAGACAGATTTAGCCACGTGTACTTCAGTACGAAGTCTCATTTTTGACTGTCGCGGACTTTGTAAAATCCTAGAAAGAAGCCAAAATCTTGCGATACACAATCGCTTGTCCAATAATGAAGAGCAACTGCTAAAGATGATGTACAGGTTTTAAAAATAATGTTGATTTACTGAATGGTTCGATTTTTGTGTGCGCCGTGACTTTTCGGACGAATTTATGGGAAAATTTGGCATCAATGTCATTTAAAAATAATGAAAACACATCACTTCTGCTCTTACTATACAGTCACGATTTCTTTGTCGTGGAACAAAGCACTTTCAGTGAAAATTATTCATTCATTCCATAAAAAAATGCAAATTGTTGTTTCTTACGCATTTTGGTCAGTTTTACGATACCGCGTACCTTTTCTAAAGACTCTCTGGGAAAACATAGTAACTGAACAAATTCAAGATATATCAAAAAAGTAAAACTTAGTACTCCGAATGACAACTTGTAAAAACTAACAAGGCGGTAGGCCACCTCTAGCGGTATGGTATTACAAGATGGACGTGTAGTCTTGCAAGCACCTATTATGCAGACTCAAAATGCTACTTTTAAAAATAAGCAATGGAAGTAGTTAATAAGCAAGCTTTGCATTGGTAAATCATCCACCATACTTGGCAGATCAGGACCTCAGTAATTTCATACTATTTGCAAAGAACATTTCCGAACTTTTTCGGATGATAAACAGGTGATATCCACCTGTGAGTACTGATCTTCAGCAGCTGGCAAACTTTTTAGCATAAGGCTATTAAAATCTTAGAATATCAATTGAACAAGTGTATTGATGGGCTTACATAAAAAAATAGAAAATGTAGGATGGAAACATTGTAATCAACCCTGGTATTTGAGTCTCCTATTCGAGATTGGGGTTGAAGGATGCTCTCGCGGTTTTCCTATTGCTTCAGCCGCCGCGCTTATGCATCAAAGCATCCTGGGTGCCATGTGGATCGTTCAGAATTTATCGTGGAATCTGAGCAGATGGACGGAATCGGTGCTTGAATCCATTGGCGCTACCACAGGTGGATATAAAGGCATAGTAAAAATATTGTCGGGAACGACCTCTTGACTTTTCATATTGTATTCGCTCAAAACTCACTTAACGTTACTAAACCTTGATAAATCACTGCCAACGAATTCGAATAGGTTAAAAAGAGCCATGCCGTTACATTAGTTGACGACGAATTTGCGTAGTTCTAGTGCCCACTTTTGACTCATTTGTCTACCAATGCCTACCAAAGTGACAGCACTGTATCAACACAATAATGATACTTACCTGTGGAATGACATATCTTCACTGGGCTTGTGTCACTCTTTGGAAATTATGTAAGAAGTACCATATCTTGAAATCGTCTAACAGCACAATTATCTGCAAGGACTCGCACTTTTAAAAAATAATAAGGTACCGTGGGGTAATAAGGCCGGACAGGTAATAAGGCCGAAAGCCCATCAAAAGTAAAATAAATTAAATACTGGTACATACAGTGTCATCTGTTAACAGGTATGTGAATCTTAGCTCATTGAATTGAGTTAACGGCTTGTCCGGTCCACCAGAAGCTCTGTGTATTTATAGAAAAACAAGTTCATATTTATTACCGTCTGTTTGCTTGTGTTTTATGGATATTAATTAAATGTTTAATAGATAAATGTACTTTGTTTGTGCATTATTAGAAGATTCATAACCTAAAATATTTCAAATACATTGTCCAGATAATAAGGCCGTGGCCTTATTGCCTGCTCTACTAATAGTTTGCTATTAGTAAGACAGATTATAAGGCTAGAAAATAATGTGTTAAATTAGACACCTCTGATTTCGCAGATATGGAGAAGGAAAATCGAGGCATTAGGGCTCAGTGGACAGAGGAAACGATGGCAGAAGCTTTACGGTTGTTAAGAGAAGGGAATTCACAAGAAACGGTAGCACGACGTTGTGGCATTCCTCGTCGCATGCTAAGAAACCACTTGAAATCCGTTTTATCAAAACGTTCTTTAGGTGCAAAACCCCTTCTAAGCACACAAGAAAACGATTTGGCGGTTAAAATCATTCGATTTGCTGAGAAAGGTTTTCCTCTCACGTCAAAAAGTTTGCGTTTGCTGTTCCACACAAATTTCATAAAGTAACGCAGTTGGTAGGCAAGGAATGGTATCGTTCCTTTTTAAAGCGCCATCCCAACATATCACAAAGGAGAGCTCAGCAACTGAATCCCACGCGTGCTCGAAAATTGAACCGCTACATTGTCGATGATTACTTTACTACCAAATTAGGTAGTCTCTTGGATAGAAAGGGTTTAAAACACCGACCTGAAAAGCTTTACAACATGGACGAGAAGGTATGTAGACTGACACTGCAACACAAACAACGTGTGCTAGCGGAGACAGTATCAAGAAGGGATACCTAATCGCGCCAGAACATGGAGAGAATGTTACCATTGTGGCTTGTGCGAATGCCCTTGGTCAAGTGGTGCCCCCAATGATACCTTTTAAAGGTCAGCGACAGAAACCTACATATACTGATGGATTGCCTGCCGGGTCAGAGGTTTGCATGACACCCAAATGTAGCATGACGACTGGCACATTTTTAACGTGGTTGGACCACTTTATGTCTGCCCCTCCCACGATTCTGATATTCGACGGTGTATCGAGTCATTTAGATGTATCCATTGCGGACAAAGCAGAGTTTTTAGGCATAGAGCCCTTTTGTCTTCCTTCCAATACCACACACCACTCCAACCCATGGACGTGTCTGTTTTTCGCCCGTTTGAATCTCAGTGTGATCAAGAATTGCTTAATTACTGGGACCAACAGCCCAATAGAACACTAAATAAAGAGCGATTCTCAAATGTTTTGAGCAATATCTGTAGTGGCTTCAGGGCGACTGGGATATATCCCTTTAATAAACATGCCAAGCAGTCGTCTGGAGGGTGAAAAAAGTGACCATTCGATGACTACTGAAATAAACAACTGTTCCACAGAACAAGGAAGAGAAATTAGAGTAGGATACACTGAAAGGGATCCCGAAGATCTTATTCCCTCGTCTAATTTTGTGAAAAAAACGGCACAAGAGTATCCTTTTTCTGAGGTTCTTATCACACCAGATATGAAATCTAAAACGGTATCAACACGTAAAAAGGCGTTCAACTATCACGCCTAAGAGGTAAGGAGGCAAGTGTTAGAGGAACACAATTCCCAAAAAAGGCGAGCAAACTGCAAGAAACTCCATGTACCAGTTGTGCTGAATCACAAGAAAGTTGGATGTGTACAGTTTGCAACCATGACCAATTTGGTGATATGAGAGTTTGTGCATCCTGTGAGACATGGGTGCATGAAGCAAATGTTGGGCTAACCGTCGAAGACACAGAGGATTTTACTTGCCCCCAATGTATGCCCTAAGTATCCGGCCTTATTACCCGCCCTTATTTTACTGTGATGGCCTTAATACCTGCCTGGTCTAGTAATAAGGCCAATATGCAGGTACTCAGTTTTTTGTTATTAAAAAAATATATTTAAGTATTTGTAAAATGAGTTTTATTTTGTGTAACAAGCAAATGTTGAGAAACGCATAAGTGTTCATTTTAAGTTAAAACCGTTTTTAGTTTCATTAATAAAAAATATTTTCCACTAAGGGTACGAACATAGTGGAGCGACGAGGTTTCAGATTCAGATAGAGGCTAACCGCGCGGTTTGCCGCTATGTGAGTCAAAAACACAGGTTGAAACCTGTCGGGCCATAGTAGCGCGATAAGGCATGCGTCGAGTCTCTAGGAGGTTTCGAGCGACGAGTTTTAAATAGTTGCATTCAATTTTTGTCACGCGTTTTCAAGCGATTTAATAATGGATGTTGTGCAATTAATAAATAGTGTATATCACAGAAGGGCTATATGGGATCAGAGTCATCCAGATCATCGCAACCGATACGTGCTAGATAAGTTATGGGAGGAGGTAGCCAATGAATGCAATAATCAGTCGGGTAAGTAAATAATTGTATTTTATACACATTTCAACAGCTAGAACTTACATCTTGCGGTAAAATTTTAAGCTGTCTCGTAACTGATTGGAAAGAAATTAACATAGTTACAGAAAATGTCGCGAACTCTTTGACCTTCACCCAGTTGCCTTCCTCTAGGTAATTCAAACATCTGATCTCTAGGAACTGCATCAGTTACTAATGTTAAATGTCGTTGAAATCCCTCTCGGTCCAGTATTGTATTATGCAAAATGCATATCGCCTTAATGATATCATCCGCAGTCTTTTCAGTAGTCTCTATAGCTTTGGACAGAAGACGCCACTTCGCGTACATAATTCCAAAGGTGCACTCGATAGTTTTGCGTGCTCTGGACAATCTTTGGTTAAAATTTATATGTTCCAAAGAGCGGTTCCTTCGATTGTATGGTTTTAGCAAATTGGGCATTAGTGGATACGCTTCATCTGCAATAAATACGTAGGGAGCGCGGACATTTGTTCCTGGTAAACTATCTGGATTTGGCACATTTAGTTTGTTTTGGTGTATCCGTTTGTACAAATTGGAACTCTGAAACGTTCCCCCATCGCTCTGTTTGCCGTAACCTCCGACATCTATCACAAGCAATTTGTAATTTGCGTCGCAAACTCCTTGTAGGACGATAGAAAAATAATGCTTATAATTGAAGTACATGGATCCGGAATGTTGTGGTGCTATAACTTTGACGTGTTTGCCGTCAACAGCTCCGATGCAATTGGGGAAGTTCCATACTTTCATGAAGTCTGCACTTACATTTAAAAATGTTGCCGTAGTAGGTTCTGGCATGTGAAGTGGTTGCAGCATGTTCCATAATATTTTAATCATATGTTTTATAATGCTCGCAACAGTACTCCTGCCCATTCGAAAGGAAAATGCCAAGTGTCTAAAGGACGCTCCTGTTGCAAGATATCTGAAAATTTTTGTTTGTTGCAGTTAAGAAAGTTTCTGAGAAGTGGAAAAATCTACGTGATTATTTCAGAAAAGAACTGAAGAAAATACCTCTGCCCCGGTCTGGTGATCCAGGCGAAGAGGCTCTTAAAAAGAGCTCCTGGCCTCATTTCAAAAGTTTATTGTTTCTGAGAGACCAGTTTCTGCCGAGATCCAGTCATAGCAACCTGTTGGATCCCGACAATGACACACAAGTTTCGACACCCTCTACGCAGATGGATGAAAATGATGGTGACTATGACGAAGACGAAATGGACGAAACGCAGGGTGTAGAAACGCAGGAAACAGAACCCGACCACACAGAATCAGTCACTCCAATTCAAAGCACACCAAAAGAACCACGAACTATTCTAAAGAATAGGGCCCGAAAACGGTCAAATCAACTTGACGCTTTTCTTGAGATAGAGAAGAAAAAACTACAATATTTAGATGAGAAACGTGTCGCTGCAGACCGTGGCAGAGCCCTACCAGTCACAGATGACGATAAACTGTTTTTTGATAGCCTTTTGCCCCACGTGGTGAAAATTAGGCCTCATCGAAAACTTCAGTTCCGCAATCAAATTCAAAATTTGGTTCAGAAGTATGCCTATGAAGAGTACTCGAACAATCAGTCCACCATCAATGTCAGTCATTCTGTTAATCATAGCCCGACATATACATCTCAACCACAAACATCGTTTGCACATTCATCCCATTTGTTGCAGGGGTTTAATTACGCAGATCAGTAAACATTATAAGTTATTATAAGTTATCGTTCGTTGTGTTCAGAAGACAGAATATTATTTTGCGTTACCGTTTGTTTGTTTATGAATAATAAAAGTATTATCCTTAATACATAATATTCTCTTACCGAATTGTTACCACCAACATTTCTTCGGTTCCTATAGGCGCTTGATTAAAATTTGTCCATTTCTTGTTGATGCAGGGTGTAACTTGTTCTAATATATACTGAAAGGTGGCAAGTTCCATTCGAATGTAGTCAAATAGCCTGTCGGGATAATTTTTCAGTTCTAGAAATAAATGATGGAATTCCCCTAGGCGTTTCCGACTTTTATTTACGTCGTGCACACTACACTGCCGCACTCCAGTCATTAAAAGCACTTGCAGGTAAGTATTATTGAGAAGAATGTCATCGTCACTGTCGGAATACATATTTTTACGTCTATCTTCGACAAAACGCGACGCTCTACTATAACCATAGGTGCCTCTTGCCTCTACGCTCTAGACGCTACCAGATATCTGAATCTGAAACCTCGTCGCTCCACTATGTTCGTACCGTAACACGGCCTTCTTACCCGACTTTACCTTACTAAATATATGGATTTGATGACAGAACTGTCGAAAAGTGCACGTTATCCTCACTACGGACTAAGAGAAGAAGGAGACAAGAATATCATTGACTGGCTCCCTACTACCTATTTTGAATTCGTTGACCACTACAACAGAGTGCCTTATATACCCTAGTAACGTGTGAAGCCTTCTTGAAAATTCAAACATATATTATGGAACGATATGAAAATGAACAAAACTAGGCGCTATCTGAAAACTAATTGACAATATAAGGAAAATTTGACACAACACATGACAGTAAATTCCAAATCTCGTTTCGGCAACTCTACCTATGCACAGTTCAACTCTACAAGACGATTTTTAGACCAGCGATCACTGACGCATGTGCGGCTTGGTATTTACTCGGCAAAACGCATTCGCGTTGCCTACAGGTTTTGCAGAACAGAACCTTGCGTACAATCACTAGAGCCCCATGGTATGTCTCCAATGAGACCCTTCACAGAGACCTTGACATCCTTTACCTAAGAGACTACATCAAACAAGAAGCGCAGTATTATAGTCAAGCGGAGTTGCATAGCAACCCTTTGTTGCGCGAGTCATTAGACTACACAGTCGACCTAATTCGCAAGCACACAAGGCCGCAACTCGCACTGTGAACAAAATTAAATCGTGCGACTTTAGGTCCAACCAAAATTATAATTTTTCTTCAACAACGAATTTTTAAATTAATTTTAGGATCACTTTAAAATTGCTGAATACTAATTAACAATGCCAAGGCACCCCTTGAATTGACGCACTTCTTTTTTCTTTACTCTCCCCCCTTCCTCTCTTTGTTTCTTCTTCCCTTCCTTTCTCCACGGTTTTGTCTGGTATCTGGGTAACCAGACCTGACACATGACATAACTCAAACTGTGGCCTAACGCACTATACAGGTGTCACAATATTATGAAACTGCCTGCAAGGCAGTCGGATTTGACACCCTAGCTACGAGAAGATACGCCACCTTACTCCAGAAAGGTGATTTTTCACTAGTTACACTTACAGTTCGTATTGAAAACGGCAACCAAACTCGACTAACTTTATAGGTCTAAAAATATCAGCAAATAAGGTATTTGAACAAATTTCTGTTACCCCTTTTACGGCTTTGGACGTTGTCTCTACCTGTTAATTGTTTACTTTGTGGTGCCGACTTACCTTTAACCCAGATAATACATATTAATTAGCTTTCTGTCCCGCGGTCTCACCCGCGGAACTTGTAGAAATTTCCCTAGCATACAATTAAAAAACGTCCATGATTTCACATAAAAACAAGTCAAGCGTACAAAGGCCCGGGGAACATCTAGTGCAAAATAAAAGGTCCCTATCGCGTGACCATCTCACCGATTGAGTGGGGCGCTGTTGCGGGCTTGACTTGACGCTTATGGTGGAGATTTTGGTGCTTCCGCGACGCTAGATTGCAGACTCGACGATGAGACATCGGATAAAACCAGGACTATTATGTTCCTCTTGTATCAATAATTAGTAAGTGTACAAATATTTGGGCCTCTCCGTATTGTGGTTAATACATGTTGCTAGCAGACTGGACAGACAATGACATATAGACTAATGGTACCCATTCACGTACAGGCGGACTGCAGGCAATGGACTGAAATTTGACCTGCAGTCGTGGCCTGCGATATAGACCATACACGTTCAGTTGTATACAAACGATGCGGCCTGCAGGCCATCGCCTGACAGTCCTAGAACTGCAGGTCGCCTCATTATTTGCCATACATCCACAGTCCGTCGCAAAAGTTTCGCAGTTCTTGCTTGTAGTGTGTAGACAAAAGAACAATAAAGCAGTGGTAAAATGTTAAGAAAAAAGAAACTTATTTTGTTACTTTTGATTTTGCTATTAACTAATGAACGCGGAAAAAATGGCAAACGTTTTTGGGTGAAGGAATGGTTAAGAGATCGTGAAAATTTATCTCATATGAAACTCCTGAAGCGATTGAAAGATTCCAGCAGCGAAGATTTTAAAAATTATCTTAGGATGGACGAGGCTTCCTTCAGAAAATTATTAACTTTAGTTAAACCCCACATAAAACGACAGAATACAGTAATGAGAAAAGCCATTAGTGCTGAAGAAAGGTTAATAGTGACTTTGCGGTATCTGGCAACTGGACGTACATTTGAGGATTTGAAATTTTCTGCCATTATTTCTCCCCAAGCACTAGGAAAAATTATACCAGAAACCTGCGAATGGATTTACAAGGCGTTGAAAAAGGAATATATGAAGGTAAGTTCATAAAATTTTGGAATACAGTGCATAATATTTTAGAAAGAAATGGAATAGTTGAAGGAGATTGAAAGCCAAAATTTTTAGAAGCGTACATTTATAAAAGTACCTAGGTATTTATTTTTTAACCTAAATACCTCGCTAATATTCTTATTAAAAATTATGTATTTTATGCTTGCATTCCAAAATTTTCGCTTTTGTCGTAATTTGAAGTAATTTTTTATGTTTTAGTAAAATTTCAAAATAATATTTCAACTACGTATTTTATTGAAAAATGTATCCTTACATAAAAACTTAAAGGTGAACAACTTGTGTTATAGAAACGAATTTTAAATAAACTTTTGATTTCTATTGTCAAAAACATAGACAATAGGTAATAATGAACAAGTCGACAAGTAAAAACAAAACTTTAAGTATGTAGTCATTGAAGTTTCGTAAATTCATCGATTAAAAACCAGCAATTCAGTTAAAGATCCTTTAAGTTTCGACGTGTTGCCGCTTTCCTCCATTGTTTCAGGGGTAGTTTTATCAAGAGGTCTTATATAGTTTATATTTATGTCGAGGTTTTCTCCTTCTGCATTTGTGTACTGTGTTTCAGAAATAGTTGCTGAGGGTCGGGAAAGAGTGACATTTTGTTGCTGATTGTAAGTTGATGTGTGTTGCGAAGAAGTGAAAGTTTGTTGTTGCTGATTTGTTAATATGGGTTGGAAAGGAGAAGGAGTTAAAGGTTGTGGCTGTTGATTGTATTGAAGTTGCATTGGCAACATAGTATTATAATGAGATGAAACGCTATGTGCCGAATTTATACATATATGAGATTCCTCGCATAATTTCTTTTGAACACCAAGGAAGAGAAGACGGTGAAGTAATAATTCAGCATACATTTTCTGGTCGCTGTCCATTCGGCGCAGTTTATGGGCCACATTTTCTCCAATACTGTCACATTCATCATTTTCTCTGTCCAACTTAGCGCAAATCCTTTGGATACTTTCTTCCTGTCCATACTTCTTTCTTTTTGCACTATTAGAAGATCTGGAAGTTGATGGACGTGAATAGGTTGATGACTGATGCGGTGTTTGTGGTGGTGATAGCTGATATATTTCAGACGGTGCTTGCAACGCATCTTCAGTAAGCGGTGAAAATTGAGTATCATGCTGGGTGACATCTTCCTGAAAGTACAAAATACAAAATGTATATTATAATTTTTTTTACAGTTTCCAAAAACATCAGAGGAGTGGCAAGAAATAGCTTATAATATTGAAACCAGATGGAACTTTCCTAATTGTGGAGGATCTATTGATGGTAAACATCTGCGAATTGTTAAACCAGCCAACAGCGGGTCATATTTTTTTAACTACAAAGACTATCACAGTATAGTTCTCATGGCCCTTGTTAATGCTGATTACGAATTCATATATGTTAATGTAGGCTGTAATGGGCGAGTTTCTGATGGAGGGGTCTTAGAATATACAAAATTTTACGATAAACTTATAGAAAAAAAGCTAAATTTGCCTTCTAATGACGTAACAAAGCATAATTTAAATTTCGTTTTTGTGGCAGATGATGCGTTTGCATTACATGAAAATATTTTAAAACCTTTCCCGGGAAACAATTTAACAAAAGAAGAATCTATTTTCAATTATAGACTTAGCCGTGTGCGCCGCACGGTTGAGAACGCGTTCGGTATATTAGCTAATCGCTTTCGAGTATTCCATACTCCAATTAATATGCAACCTGACAAAATTGACAAAATTGTACTAGCAGCTTGCGCGTTGCATAATTTTTTGAGACGTTCTAAAACTTCATATATAACGAGAAATGATGTTGACACCGAAATTATTGACACAGGGGATATAATAAGGGGAGACTGGAGAGCAGAAAGACCATTAGATAATTTACAACCAGGATATGGTCGTAATGCTTCACGTGAAGCCAAAGAAAATAGAGTGAATTATAAAAATTTCTTTAATACTGTTGGAAAAGTTTCCTGGCAAGAAAATTTTATTTAATCAATGTACCTATTATAATATGTATCTTACTTGATAATTTTGTAGAATTAAAGAATTTATTTTAGACAAGAAATAAAAAGATTTTATTTGATTTTTTTATTTGCAAAAAATTTCCTTACCTCATTATTGGCATCGTCACCCTCCGACTCCGACTCATCATCATTTGAAACTGACATCCTAGGTTCTTCCTGCGAAGCCGTAAAAAGCAGTAATTTATAATACCAAAGAGTTGGCTCATACAGCTCTTCTGTAGATGATCCACTTCTTTTTGATTTTAGAACTTTTTTGTGCTCCTTTCGAAAGGCACTTCTAATATTATTAATTTTCTTTTTTACCATATCCATCGAAGCATTTTTGTCTACGGTTTTGCAATAACTTATAAGTTTCTCATACGCCTTTGCCTTTTCTTTTCGATTTGAATACTGTTTTGACTTAATATTCCATAAACTTGGTAACTGTCGATAAATATCAATAAAACCAGTAACAAACGATGGCTGATTTAACGTCACATCAGACATTTTTTACCAAAACTGTGTACACAATTTTTAAATACAATGAAAGTCGCTATCGTACGACCCGGACTGACGATTAACCACCACACACGTACACACTTTGTGCAATCTTTGTAAACTGCAGGCACAGACCTGCCGGCCACCTGTACGTGTATGCTGAAATTTGGACTGACGGCCAGATCGTTCACAGTTCGGGACTGCAGTCCGCCTGTACGTGAATGGGTACCATAAGAGAAGAAATTACCGGACAAACAGCATAAGCAAGAGTTTGCTGTATAACAGATGAATGTACCTTACTCGCCTACCAGCAATAAATATTTTATGACAAATTACAAGTCACTATTAATCTAAAGTATCATACTTGAGGTAAAACAAAACAACCGAACAAATATAAATCAAGACGACCACGCTAAGGAAACGTTTGTCGGATTGCGCGATACAAAAAATGGCCTATTTATATACTGTTACTCATTTCGGTCGAACTAGCGTCTTACTGCCTCTGCACCAGATACCTCATGTTAAATTCCATTAAACCGTTTGCGCTTCAGACCGTAAAGATATTTTAATGTTTTATTTTTAAGATAAAGAGTAGCAATATCTGCTATTCCAGACTATAATCTACCTCTGTAACAAATTACATCCAGCTCTGGTCAGCCGTTTTGGCGTGATGGAGCAACAAACATCTACACTTCCTCATTTATAATAGTATGGATTTTCCATGATGCCCATTATACAAACGGACTATTTATTAACTAGTGATTCGCTGCGTCCAAAATAATTATTTGGAAATTGTAGCGCTGGCTGTCTCTGGTAGGTTGGTACGAGTGAGAACATGGATAAGCTCTTGCTCAAAAATCTAAATTTAGATCAGACAATTTATTTGTCCAAAAGTAAAACACGTTAAATTTCGTGAAAGTTTGCCCGATGCTCTTTTTTTATTTTTCATTAGATGTCCTCATGAGTCCATCTTCAAGCTTCTCTACCTCTTAAAAGGTTAAAATCTACTCGTATAATGTCATATAATCATATAATTCTTGGTCCAAAAGAGGTTTATATCAAACTTGATAATGATGACCGAACGTTGACGTAAGCTACACTTGGACCTTGGATTCGTTGAGGCCTTTAAGATGCCGATAAAATTGTAAATGGTCCCCTAGAGCTTTGGCCTCATTAAGTTAAAGCTGGACAAGACGCCAATGTTTCTGATAATCTAACAAAGACTCCATGTCTAACTTTTCCTGATAGCGTCTCTTCTCATTCACTAGGTTTGTAGGCTTATCTACGTGAACGACTTGACACAAACTATATTGCCTGAACGATTTTTTTAAAAAGGTATAACACAGAGTCAGCTATTCTCAACTTTCTCGATAGCCATAGAGAGAAAGGCATCCTGTATGTACTCAGGAATCTTTAAAGACGAAATCCGAATGACTTCTATTTTTTTTTTTCGTTATTAGCTTCTTCTTCGCCACCACTGGTCCGATTTTGAGAAACTGCAAAGGTTTTTTTGTTTTTGGAATAGTAGTAAGTAGTAGTAATAGTGGTAATTGTAAAAACTGTCCAAATTCGATCAGTACTTTCCAATTTGTTGACGGGCCAAGGATAAGAGGACAAACAGACAGACCAGCAGAAATGAGTGACATGCTTTTGCGAGATGTACATACATGTCATGTAACACAATATCCAATTTTCAAAATGTTTCGGGGTGACAATACCCCCTGGCGTGAAAATTAAAAATCGTTCCACTAAAAGAACCCCGCGTCTTTGTAAAAGATACGTACGATATTTTAAACCTTATGAGTACGAGTGTAGAGCATTTTCTTCACTACTGTTTGCCTGCCTAACTGACGGAACATGCATATCTGCAGAATGTCCGTATTATGTAATAATGCCATGGTACTCGTATTACCTCCGGCAGTGTGTATGATCCGAACCGTACATACTCAGGCATCCCGTGGATGTTGACCAAGCAGTCAGGTATTCTGCAACAATAACACCGTCGAAACCTCAACTTGCAGTCGCAGATGTAGACGCTTCCACTAATTGGCGGTAATAACACTGTGGAGACAATATCTCAATATTTGCTGAGCAGCTATGCCCTTAAGCTCAGCAAAGACTAATAGAGAACGCATATGGGGTACGATGTACGAAATGTCGAACTTTTGGCAACTCTGCATTGAACTTGAGTTAGAGGTCAATTATTATGATTATAATATTGATTAATAGAGAATTATGGGAAACATTTGAAATGATTTCCTATTTGTCCATCTTCGAAAGATTTTTGAAAAGTTATCGGTGATTCTTAATTTATTGAAGCTATCAAGAAACTAAGAGCAAAAGAAAGATGCCGACTACTTCGACCGATTTCACGGAGTGAAGCAAATACGTACATATCACAAATGGTTTGGAACCTAATTTTCTACAAAAACGTTATATACAGTGAATCGAACACCTTGAACGTTTCCGAATTCTGAAGATTTTTCACGTCGGCACTGATAGTATACATCACGAAGATTGTTTTTAACGAAAAACTATGTCACTCATTTCCGTCGATCTGTCCGCTAATCTAATAGCGCCTTTAGATTGGAAAGTACCATTCAAATTTCGATGAAATTTTTGCACAATGAAACGAAAATGGGTCCAGTGGCGGCAAAGAAAAAGGGCCAAAGACGGAAAAGGAAAAAATTTGCTTAAGCTTGATTTTTTGACATTTCAGAGGTCCCTCATCATTTTCTAAAAAAAAATTTTAGAGGAAATAAACTTAGAGGTCGGAGTTGTAGAGGGTGGTTGATTTAGGGGGATTGGTAGGGTTTGTCTCAATTTTTTTAGGTTAGTACATTGATAATTAATTATATGCACCTACTAGACATATTTTACACATCATACATTTCTCCGTACATTAGCCCTTAAAACATAAAAATACTGTCACCGCGTACCTACCGCCTTGGTCCGTGTTCTGTTATTGGTATTACACGTATTTCTGCCGCGTCACAGCATAGTGTTTCCTATGCTCGGACTGCACTGTCGCGTCTGACTGTTACCGACAGGAAAGTTTAGGGTAGCACTTGAACAATATTTATACGACAGACACATGTAAGTCAGTCGCCTTTCATAAAAAGCTAACAAGCAGAATAAGTAAATTTTTGATATAAAAACACGATCAATTCATTGGTTTATTTAAAATCTTTCATCTTAAAATCTCCCAGTGTACTACGTTTACAAAAGGTTAGGTGTAAGAGTGGCTTCAGGTTAAATCTCTCCTTTTGTAGGTAAAGGTAACAAAGGCAACAATTATTATCAGATAGGCAGCAGCGGTGGCCGCAGTAGTAGACTCTTCGGTCTCCTGATCAGTCGCCGTGCGCTGTGCGGGTTCGAATCCCGTCCCAGGAGAAATGTTTCTCTTGGCTATGGATGTTGTGATTATCCGTAGGTGGTAGACGGTCTCTGACTGTCGAACGCGTAGGTACCACCCGGCGGATCTCGTAGGCGGAGCCAGAATGTGTGCATGTTGCATGCACACGTGTTCCCTCGCCAGAGTCCGTGTGGCGTTCCCCCTTTCCCATGTATCCCCCTATAGACCCACAGTACCCAATGGGTGCTTAGGCCTTAGGCCTTCGTGGTAGTTGGAGTATAAATAAAAAAAATAGATATTATTATTAGTACTATTATTATTATTATCACCATTACCTTAAATTCCATGCATCTGATGGTTTGACTTTCATTCTCAGGTCTAGTTTGTGCTAGACATATATTTTGTGTATTGATGGAAAGTGCAGAATCAACCAACCTGACGCCATTTTTTTGTTTCATATCCACGCATCCACTTTGTTCGAATGGATTTTACCCGAAATCCTTAATTTAACAATTGTCTCGTTTTCTATCAAAACCGTTGATTAAATACTTTACATTTGTAAGACTGACAAGCATGTGCATCGAAGTTATTCAGAAAAGCCTATTTTTTCTTCTTTATAGGCTTGTGTCAGGCCAGTCACACTGGATCATTGTTTTTTGTCCTTGCTGTACAGAATTCTGCCTAATAAATTATTTGCGGACATTAATAAAATAACAGAATACTTATTATATAGCAAATATCCAGTTTACTTGATTACCATGCGAAAAACAACTAACAACTTTTATGGTCCAACAAATGTTTAGCGCTGATTTTCATGAGTCAAATGATACCGTTCTCATCATAGATTTCACCATAAGTTTGCCTTAGACACTTGAAGATATTCATAAAATAAATAAATAAATATCTTTATTGCCATTTGACTTGAAAAAGTATCAGCAAATTGTCAATGATGAATGAGAAAAAAAAATTCCTAAAAAATTGTGATCGAGTCAACACTAAGTAAATTAAATAATACAAACATAATGTACTCAAAATAACAACATAAACAAACGAATTAAAAAGATGTGAATAAATATCAAATAAAACAAGAATAGAAGGACGAACAGATTGAAAACAGATTAAAAATTAATTGTTAG